TGATTGGGTGGAGGTGATGCTATGGGGCTGCTGAGACTGTCAGAAAAGGCCTGCAGCCTCCACTAGTTCTTTCTAGGCCCTCTCTTCCTGACACTGGGTCCGTCATGGAGAAGCCCAACTACGCTCAGAACGCCATGCTGTGAGGAGGCTCGGGCTATGCAAGGAGCCCAAGGTTACATGCTCTGGTCAACCAGATGCAGTTGAGATCCCAGTGAACAGCCAGAAGCAATTACCAGACACATGTATGCAGATGATCCCTGTGCTCAAGGGTTGTCAATCCTATCATTTGAGTCAGACCCAGTGAACCGCCCCCGTCCGTCCCCCTCAACCCCCTCTGACATCATGGAACAAAAATAAACCATTCTGCAGTAGGCCTGTGCAAGCTCCACAGAACAGCACATGAGCACTCACTCTGCCTCCCTGGGCAAGGCTGATCTGATTCCAACTCTGCAGATGCAGCTCCCACTCACATGTCTGGTCACTTCCCCCCATGTCCAATGTCTCTCCGTTGCCGATGTTTTACTAGTTTCAAATGGTCAAACATTAATATAGAAGACTTGTTAACAAGTCTACTTACTAAGAATTAGTTAATTATTTCTCACCATGTATCTCTGGATCATTTAGCATTAAAATCCATTTTCAGATGGAGAAATGACACACACCAAGTAACCGAGGCAGATAGAACAGCAAGAATCTAGTTGCTAACACCCAGCATGGAGCTCCATCCCCAGGGAACGCTTAGTGACTATGAGGACAAAGAGGGCAAAGAGGATGGGTGCAGTGAATGACCTACATCCCGTGTCACTCCTTTCAACACTTCCATGCTCAGTGCTTTTCCCAGAGGAAACAATTTCTTTACTAAAAATATAATGCTGTGTCCACACAATCTATGTGGTTCTACAAGATACTTGACAACTATGGAAATGTTCCACTTTTGCTACTCAAAAGTCCATTCATCTAGCATGTCACCAAATGGTAAGATCATCTGTATTCTAACGCATTCGCTAAACATTTTATTGCCAGTATGTGAATGCTCTTACTGTTGCGTTGGCTCTGACTCCTGGATAACCTGGGGTGAGTGATGCCCACTTGGTCCTGTCCTCAGTGGCCCTGCTCAGCTCCTGCAGACAGGTGCCTTATGCACCTGAAAGTACATATATGGTGCTGATCTGCAAGGGCCACTCTATGTCTCAGGGTTTGTTTATCTTCAACTAAATAAGATATTACAGAAAGCAGCAACCCACGGAGGTTGCACCTATTTTTAAAAAATACATTTGTATTGATTTCAGAAAAGAAGGGAAAGGGAGATAGAAACATCATTGATGAGAATCGATTGGCTACCTCCTAGATGTCCCCCAATGGGGAGTGATCTCACAACCCAGGCATGTGCCTTGACTGGGAATCGAACCATGACCTCCTGGTTCATAGGTCAACACTCAACCACGGAGCCACTGGGGATGGGTGGGGTTGCACCTATTTTAATGTTGGCCTGCAGAGTGTGAGAGCTCCCTTTCCCCCACATTCAAAATGATAGGTGGTATTTAGATGTTTTATTTTTCCCAATCCAATGCAAATGAATTAGTAATTCATTATTTCATTTGCATTTCATATACTAATACTGAAGGTAAGGGTTTTTATAGTCTGTCTTCGATTTTTGGGCACATGACTTCATTTTCTGAGAACTTTCTTCTAGTTCCTTCTATGGACAGAACTGTCCCTTGGACTTGACTGATTGTAAGTGTAGTTTGGGGTGAGCAGTTTAGTTGTCCCCAGGCTCATCTTTAGCCATGTTCACAAGAGAATATTAAAATGCTCACCACACAGCCCATAGCATTGGACCTTTATTGTGAGGGGAAAAAATTATACAACCCCATAGGAAGATCGTTAAAATATACTTGAAAATGATGAGAAGAAATGGAGAAAATACCCAACTAATCTTAAGAGATGTATCTAAGGAAGTATAAAGAAGATACCAAAAAACAGACTGGAACGCAAATATTGCCTAGCATCAGTAGAGTTCATTTCTGTAATGTGGCCACCTTGGGAGGTAATAAATTTCTTCCATCGGGAACAGAGGGAACCGAGAATTTGTGCAAGTGTTTCACAGGTAAACTTGATGAGCATTAAATGTCTTTTATTCTCCAAGTTTATGAGGCTAGCCTCAGGGGATATTGTCATGAGGAAAAATGTATGAAAGAGAAATATCACAAGTGAGAAAATACAGTGAAATGACAACCTAAACTTGCAAATCTCTCCAGCTCTTAAGAACTTCAGCATTTTGTCATTTGCAGTTTTACCAAAAAAATAAAAAAAAATTAAATTAAATTAAAATAATGTTAATGGCAAAAGACATCTGCCTCCACAGGCTGAGAAGAAATAATTCATCATACATTAGAGTTAGAAGGGATTCTGAAGGTCTTCCTGCCCAACTCCTTCAACTCATTAGATGAAGAAACCAAGTTTAAGAAAAAGTGATTGGTCCTAAGTCACTTGCTGGTAATGTTAGAAGCAAGACATCAATCTATAGATGCAACTGTAAAACTGATTTTCATACTTGTTCACATTTTCAGGTAACATGAACTGAACTGAAGGAATTTTTTGAGCCTTGTTCTTTCAACAGACATTTAAAAGTCTAGGTTTCGAAGTTTGCAACAAATTATATCTTTCTAGAGGATACTTATATTTTTATTACATTTAGGCCTTTCCAAATACACAGACCATTTATATTTCCAATTATGAATCATACCCAGGTGGTGAGATATGAAAATCTTAAAAATATATTGAAAGTCAAGATTTAATCATCTGTGTACTTATGAACTAGCTAGTCCAACATTAAATATATTTACACCTACTTAGCTAATCTTAAATAATTATTATAATGTTTGAGTATTTTTATTTTTTTTATAATTGAACATGTTGTGATTCTTTTTTCCCATGTAAATAATGCAAACATTATGGAAATCTCATGTTAATGTATTTCCCTTTTAGTATGTATTACTGTTATTTCTCAACTACTTTCTGAATACCCCAGTAAAAAACTACTTAAGGAAATAATATTCTGGGAAAGTGGTTGTGAAATAAAAATGTAAAAACATGTAATTATGGTATAATCTCAAAACACAAAATATCAAAGAGAAATGCACAAACATAAGGTGATAAACCAAAATGTTAGCAGCGTATTACCTTCCTCTCTGCTTTTCAAATTTTCTATAATAATCATGTATTTTACAGCAACAAAAATAATTGATATTCTGCAGGTCAAAATAAAATTAAAAAACAAAGCAATATGAAATTCTGATTTTCTAAACTAAGTTTTAAGCTTATCCACTCGACACCAGAGTGGATAAAAATTTATTAATTCATAGGATATGACTTGATATACACAAATAAATTCATAAACCTTATTGGATGCTCCGACTGAGAGTGGTTATAAATATTATTTATCTACCTGTCCTTTGGGTAGTTCATGGTAAGTAACTGAACCTCATCGCGTTTCCAGTAAGTATGAATGCTGAATACTGACTTTTGCAATGCTAATGCAGTACCTGGCACTAAGCAATTACTCCCCATGTACTTCCCCTTTCCTTCCTAGCTTGCTGTACATCTATTCAAATTATAAGGACAGTTCCTGAATCTTACTCATCACATTTCCAGCTGGAGATCATTTTCAAACTAATATGCAACACATATGAATATTAAATTTGCAAATTATTAAAATAGATATTATAATGACAGATTATATAGGTCTTTGCTTACCATGATTATAGGTAACTTGGTTTCACAAATTGCTGTTTCCTGTTCAACTCTGCCTGTTGAAAAGGGTGTTTCAGACACACTAATGGTTTATTGTAAGAAATCTTGTCAACATTAAGAGGTTTTTTTTTCATTATAGCTAAACAGAATAAAGACAGATCACCTATGAGATAAATTAAAACAGGCTCTTGACCTGCATTGTGTCCTGTTGTTTATACGACATTTAAACTATTGATTGGCTGAAATGTGTGCTAACTTGAAATATAGTTACAAGCATTACCCCCTTGTGAGGTAATAGCCAATTTTAAAATGAACACTTATTTAAACCGTACAGTTCTCAGACAAAAGAATGAAATGCATTACAAAGCATCCTGGGTAACTGAAGTAGTGGGTGAAAGATGAAACACAGCACAACACCTTGCAGAGTAAACTCTCCAATACTGTTCCTTCAGTTTATCTATCACTTGTGACAACTACCCCTAGGCTTCTGAAACTTCAATCAACGTAACTGTGACCTTTGTCTTGAAAGAAAGCAAGCGAGGGAGTGAGAATGAGAGAGGGAAGAAAAACCAATAATTATTTGTCATGTGACTAGAGTTCTAAATGGGATATTCACATTAGCAGGTTACATAAGGAGAGAAGTATAAGCATGCTTATTTTTCCCCCCCTCACTAAAAATGTTTTGAATTAACCTTAATTCTCAGCGTGATTAACAATTGATAACTGACTTAGGAACATAGCAGACATAGTCCTAATCTTAGAGCAAATAACACTAATTGAAATATGTGAACATTACTGCTAAGTGCTGGCACCTAATTGCATATAATTCATCTGCTATGCTGTTAATCATGTCAATTTTAAAAAGGTCACCCAAGTTCCCTGGGACTAAGCTTCCTATATTTGTGTGTGTTTTAAAGGAGTTTGAATAGGATTCTGAAAATTCTATTATCATGTTAACAAAATACAATTTCAAAAGGAAAAATATTAACGAAGTATCTATATATTGATAAGCATTTAAATTAGGACCCTTATATTACCTTTACAATCACTTGCAATACCAGGATTGAAGAAAGCTTAATCAATCTCATCACTGAGTCATATATATAAAGTTACTTTACATCAAAACACCATATCTAAAATTAAATCTTTCACCATGTTTTGAGCAGAATGAGGGATCTAATCACAGGTTAACATAGGAAATACTTGTCTCAAAAATCAGTGCATTTAATATGTGGCAGACACAAGTCTTGTCATTAAAATTCTTTTTATTGTTGCTTCAGTAAAATGGAAGGGTGCCCAAAGTCCTGAGTCAAATGTTTCTTCTTATTTTTCCAACAGCGGTTGTTTGTCTTCTTTCGGTCTGTTCAGTAGAAAGTGAACTATCTGTAGTAGAACATCATCGTTAAAACCTTTCACATCATTATCTTCGATGGTTTCATAAAGAGGCTTACTTTGCGTCCCCCAACATATATTTTTACGACTGTTATTCTGATCAGCTTGTGCGGTCAGTGCCAAAGTATTTAATTGGTAGCAGAAAAAAGAAAAGTATTTTCCATCTGTGATCACGGCCTGAGAGACAAAAGGTCGAGTGACATCCGCTTCACTCCAGAATCCTAGAGAAGAAAGTTACAGTGAAATTACACTAACGTATGTTTAACACAAACAAAATATATGTATTAGAGGAGTATCGGATACTAGATATTTTACCTGCCAGTCTTTAAAAGATCTCATCAAAAATTATTTCGTCACATCTAGTATCCCTACCTCAGAATACATCTTTTCAATAACTTCTGTCTTCAACAGCTTTCAACCTTAATTCACTTCTTATAAGAGCAGCTGTATCTTTGCAGATTTCCCATCATCTGCTATTAGCTACATCACTGCTCACCATACCGTAACATCTACCATCCAAAAACCATGAAGGCCATTTATTTCACATCTACAAAAACAAACAAACAAAAAAACCACCTTTCTAAGGACTTCAACTAGGTCCTCATACAAATTCTGTCTTCCTTTATGTATCCCAAAACTGGTTTTATGAGTTGCTGTCATTTCACTTAGTGAGTCGTAAGTGATAAGGCTCCAGGCAGCCTTAAACTTATTATAACTACTCAATTTTCCACCTGCTTCTTATCCAGGCTGCCTGGCTTTAATACTTTAAAACCCTAATGCCAGGATCAAGCAGAGCTATTTCCCTGCACTTATTTTATGCCAGCCACAATGGAGATGGTCAATAAATAATGTTTCTAAAATATGGAATTTTACTGCAAAAAATATTTATCTTTCATGAATAAACAAATCTTCAACAGAGATTCCTCTCCTGTTTCTATTATAGAAATACAAGTCAACAATTGTGAACAGAAGGTTAAAATATATACATAAAGGAAAAAGGTGGGCTTGGCAATAATTAAATCTGTATTAAAATCCCTCCTGGGTATTTATATAGGATTAAACTCATTATATATTACCTCACTTCAGATTTTAAAATGAAACCCAAATGCCTCAAATGGGTTCTAAAAGTCCATGTGAAATGGCTCCTTCCTCTCTTCATCAGCCTTCATGGTCCTTAAACACCTCAAGTCTGTTCCGCCTCAGATATGACAAAGTGTCTTTCCTCAGAGTTTACACTTGGGCAGCAGCCCCTCACCATTCGGTTTCTGTTCACTCATCCTTCTCCAGTCCTCCCCTGAATTATTATGTTTACAGAAATTCTGCCCCATATCTCATTTAAACCTGTGCCTATAAATCACTCTAGCCCTTATCGGGTAATGTTCTCTGCAGTATTACCACTGCCTACAAATCTCACCTGTTTATTATTCTCCGCACTATACACTCCAGAAGAATAGGATCTGCCTGTCTTACCAAGCACTTTATCTCCAAGGCAAGAGTGCTTGATACATAAAAAAATTCTGTTTACTGAATGAACAATCCCCTGATCCACATCCTAGATATGGCCTTCAAATAAACGATAAAGAATAGCTAGGGACTTAACCTAACATTCAATCCACCACAGCATTTCCTTCCTTAAGCTACAGAAAGCTGCTGTCACCTACAGAGCTGACTAGTGGGCTCTATCGTCTTTAAAACTCTTGACACCATCAGAAAAAGTACAGCCACACAAAGTGGTCAACGTAACAGATCACATCACTGCTCAAGTGCCACTGGACAACTGCACATGTAAAATGTTTAATTATGGGTTTCAAAACAAATATGCTTTGTGGCAATGTAAGTTTTCGAACTGTTAAGACTAAACCAAGGAAATGAACTACTAAATTTTTAAAATGTCAGATGTCTTCCAGCAATACCGTCATTTTACCTTGGTACATAGCTTGTGCTCCAGTCCAAGCAAAAAGGCTTGCCATGGCATTAGCTCTAAAAACAACTTCTATCTGGTCAGCACGGTTGTGCTTCAGAAGCCTTTCCCTGTTTACTTTTTCTGGTAACAGGTGGAACTGGGTATGGCCATAACAGTACGGATCTGCTGTCCTTGCGCCTGAAGAGCCAAAGAGAAACATGCGACATGAAATGACATGTGGAACACCTGGAGCAGTGTGCTCAGTATTTCTCTAAACCCACCCCTCCTCTACCCACCATGTGATCAGTATTCAAAATTCACACATGGGAAGGTTAGTTTACGTATTTTTTGTAATAAAGTTACATTTCACACAAAAGTACAGTCTGCTAGCTGTCATCAAGTCGCTCACTATGAACAGGGTAAGTAAAAATATTATATATAAAATGGAATAAAATTTCCCATTTATTTCAGTTTTTCAAACATATTAGTCATAACTAAGGAACTTCATTATTGTTCTTATTATATTTAGCAAAGGAAATAAACACTTCAAGACTTTAAAACCTTATTTTATTTTATTTTGCTTTATTGCTACTTTTTAAGCCTCACCTGATATTGTTTTTTTTTTTTTTAATTATTATTATTGGTTTTTAGAGAGAGGAAAGGGAAGAGAGAAAAACATCAATGGGCTGCCTCCCACACCTTCCCCAAGCAGGGATCAAACCTGCAATCTAGGTATGTCCCCAACTGGGAACGAAAACTGTAATGATTTCATGTATCGAATGACAAAAATCAACTGAGCCCCGGCCAATGCAAAAACTTACTTTATTATTTTAATATAATAATTACACAGCTTGTTTCTAATTTTAAAAATATAATTGATTCTTATACTACATTTTAAATTAAAAAAACAAACAAAACTTTTTACCCTATCGTGCCCTTTATACAATGCTGACATTCTTAGCTTTAGTGATAAAGTTAAAAGTGCCCCATTATTCACTGTCTAAGACTTAGTGACAGAGAACAGGCTGATAAAATAGGTCTGGAGAATTAGTTTAAGCTGCTTTTTTAAAATGTTTCACAAGTCAGCTAGGAATTAATAGCTGAAGGAAAAAAAATAAAAACACAGCAAAATAAATAAATAAACGACATAAGGGCAGATGTCAGACCTTATTAATTTTTATGTTTCTGGTGGTTATCACACTGTGAAACAAACAGCAGACTTTTAAAAAAAATAATAATATTAAAAAATAAAAAATAAAAAAATTCACTGCCTCAAGCCCAGTTCTACACTTTTTATTTCTGAAAAACAAACAAAACAAAAAAAACCAAATTATTTTTCCTATAAAATACAGCAATAAAACTCAACAAGTATAACAATATTTTAAACTTAAATTTTGCTAATTCAGTAGAAACAAGTAAAATTTTAAATGGTGAGCTGAACGAATATTTTCTTTACAATTTTCAGGCATATTTAATAACCTGAGACTATGAATTACATCGTTAATAGACTATCTAAACCTTGAGTTATCAAGAATTATGCATATATATACAAGACACCTAGGACACATTTATAGCACAATACATCTGAAGAGAAACTTACCAGTAAATATGGTATTTTCATATTGTCGTTTGAATAATGGAAGTTTGTCTGGCTTACAGTTCATAACAGGAATTTCTATAGGTACAGAATAATCCAGCGGCACAAACTTAAAAGAAAAAGTCATAAGTGAATTCACAGCAACACTTGTACATACTTTACTCACATTTATAATACTTAAAAATCTGAAAATGAGATGATTTGCAAAATGATAGGCCAAATCCAACCAGCCACCTGTTCTTACAAATAAAGTTTTATCAGAACATAGCCATGCACATTCATTTTCATACAGTGCATGGCTATAAGAATATAGATGAACAGTTGAATTAGCCTTAAGGCCCGCAAAGCCTAAAACATTTACTATCTGTATTTTTAAAGGAAAATATGTACCAACCGGATATGAACACACAGACAACACTAAAATATGCTTTTCTCCAAAAGAACTGTTAAGTACATAAAATGACCAGTTTATAACTGCAATAAATGCCTTGATTTGTAATTAGTGTAGGTACTGTAAATCACAATCATAAACTAGTATCCGTTTTTCATATTTTTATATTAAGAAAAAAAAAAGAGACTTGTATGTTCCTGAAACTGATGCCTTAACCTCACTTAAAATGATTATCTGACCTTTTGGGAATACATATACCACAGCAGGTTAAAAAGCTGAAACATAATTTCAGAGATGTATTTGAGCGAAACTCAAAAGGCATAGGATCCATCCAAACCTTTTTACCCTATCACGCCCTTTTCCTAGCCTGCCTATGACATGTCCACATCAGATTACCAACAGGCACGCAGGCAGTAAATTCTCACCTCTGGGAGCTGCTTGGATATTCGAATCTGGTTGTGTGGTTTATCATTTATTTGGTATCGCACAGCGTCAACGCGGCCTTTCCGATGACCATGAGCAATGATCTCTTCACCACGCCACCAGTAAAAGTGAACCGGGCGTTTACAATCTACCAAAAGACATCCAAAACTCTTACCGCTTAGATATGTTTGGTTATTATTAGAATACTAAACTCAGCAATATAGAACTCAAAAAATAAGTGTGCTAATTAAAAATACACATAACAAAATTATTCTTAAAGACCGTGTGGATTATGCGGTAATTAAATGATCGTGACTTAAATATAAGACTCAGCTAAGTCTTGTCTCCTTATGCCATTGCTGCACCAAACACTGTAACTAGGGTTTTCTCATTTGCAAGAACAGGAGCAGCGCACACCAGAAAGTTTAACAGGAGTCAGAGCTGTCTTAGGAAGGACTGATTCAATCTTCACAGTAACGCTGAAAGGTATGTACAGCTGTTATCATCACGGTTTTAGAGAAGAGGAACCTGAGTCTTGAGAAGGTTAAGTTTTCCTAGGCCTGTGGTCTTGAGCCACATGTGGCTCTTTGGCCCCTTGAGTTGGCTCTTCCACAAAATACCAAGGCCTGGGCGAGTCTATTTTGAAGAAGTGGTGTTAGAAATTTAAGAAATGTGGCTCTCAAAAGAAATTTCAATCGTTGCACTGTTGATATTTGGCTCTGCTGACTAATGAGTTTGCCGACCAAGGTCCTAAGGCCATCATCAATCAGGAGCCTAAGTCCCATGATGATTAATCCCCCAACACCACTTCCTTCCCCACTGAGAGGGGAGTTAAGGCACTCAACAAGATTCAGGGGGCACACACCTCCAGGGAAAACACTAACTCAGTCTTCACTTACTAAGATGCCCACTGTGTAGTAGAGACGAAACGCTTGGGCACATCAGCAACACTAATGTTTAAAACTGTCTCCCCATTAATCCTTTCTCATGCCTGCACTGGATTGTACGCTGGAAACCCAGAATGGCTGGTGTGACTCCTGACCACCACATCTAGCCTGGCAGCTGTCGGCTCTTTTGAGTAGGCACATTTCACATTTCTGCGCCTGCTCCTCTAGTTTTGATTTATAAAACCATGCCACCTACTGTCAACAGTCATCGCGAGGATCAATTAGTTGGCACATACCACCTGTAGGACATGGCTAGGCACACAATATACACAGAACATACAGGGTAGGTGTTTTCATCAGTGCTGCCTTCCATCTTTCCGACCCCAGGACAAAGGACCCCCCCCCATCCCGATTCTCATTTTGGAAATGAGAAAGAGAACGCTAAAAGGGGTGCATTAAGTTGCCATATGGCTCAAGTAACATTTTGGTGGGAGAGTGCAAAGGAACAGGGCCCTTGGCTGAGCCAGCCCGGCTCTCCACCCTCCTCCGATGGTCAGCAGGCGGGACCCTCCCCGGGCCCAGCCAGGACCAGCCCCGCAGCCCCGCAGCCCCGCAGCCCCCGTCTCCGCATGGCCAGCGCAGTGGGTGCCGCCACACCTCGCCGTCCCCGCTGGGAGTCCCGGGACGACTGAGAGAACACGGACAGCGACACGACGCGGGTGCAGATCCGGGGAGGAGCGGGTCCCCGCCATCGCCCGCCCCGCCGCGCGCTCACCGAGGGCGGCGGTGGCCAGCGCCGGGTTGTGCGCGCCGAGCAGGCCCACCAGGGCGGCCACCAGCTGGTCCAGGAAGGGCGAGGCCACGGCCTCCACCTGCCGGTAGAGGGGCGCGCGGCCGCGGCGCCGCAGGTAGAAGTGCTCCTGCAGGAGGCAGTCGGCCGCGGCGGCGCGCAGGGCGGCCAGGGCGGGCAGCGGCGGCGGGGCCCCGGGCTGGGCGGCGGCCGGAGGCGGGGACCCCGGCTCGGCGGCCGGCGGCGGCGGCGGCGGCGGGGCCCCGGGCTGGGCGGCCGGCGGCAGGCCCGACAGGAACACGGTCTTGGTGAAGCCCTGGTACCAGCGGTCGGCGTGCAGCGCGAAGGTCTGCGGGGGCACCACGTACTTCTTGAACTGCATCTTGGTGAGGATGCCCATCTTCTCGTCCGCCGTCCGCGCCGCGTGCACCCGGGCCTGCCAGCGCTCCACGCGCCGCTGCCGGGCCGCCTTGCTGTGCGCCGTCATGGAGGCCACGATGGGCGGGTAGCGCGCCACGGGGGGCGCCCCCTCGGCGCCGGCGGCGTCCGGAGCCCCCACGGCGGCCGCCGGGGCCGCGGAGTGCAGGGGCCGCCCCGGAGCGCGGGACACCAGCCGCCACCACCTGGCCGCCGCCATCTTTGCCCGGGCTTCCCGGGCGGGGGCGGGTTTCCGCAACTCAGGGCCAATCGGGAAGCAGGATCTGAGTCCGGCTTAGGGGAGGCTGGCTGTCATTGGGCTTGAGGAATGTGCGTCACCTGCTTCTTAGCCAATCAGATCACTTCTCCAACTTTGTTTCCAGTGACTCTAAGCCTGGGTAACTGAGGCAGAGTCCTGGGCCTGGAGGTGTCCCCCATCCACCACCAGGTCAGGGGCGGGGGAATGACACCTTGGAACAGGAGCTCTGGCCGCCTATGTTGCTTCTCCCATCCCGACAAGCTTCTTGCCAGAAATCATAAAGGCACAGTCTGCACAGAAGCCTCTAGCGCTTGGCTAACTTTACTGGTTTCATTTCCGTATGGCACATCCTTCTTTTCTGTTTTAGTTCTTGGAACTTCTTATTAAACACTAGGGACCCTTGGCACCGGTGGGGTCCCTCGAACTGGCCTGAGCCCTCTCGCAATCCAGGACCCCAAGGTTTCGGCCAGATCCCTGCAGGCCAGGCTGAGGGACCCCACCTGTGCATGGGGCCTCTAGTATGCATACAAGATCTTTGGTTAATCTCTTCCACCCTCCCCCAGCCCTCTTCCCTCTGAGATTCATCAGTCTGTTCTGTGTTTCCATACCTGTGGGTTGAGCGTCTGCCCCCTGGTGGTCAGTGCACATCATAGCTACTGGTCAAAAGGTCAAACAGTCGCTTAGGCTTTTATAGAGACCTATGCACAAAATTCATGCAAGGGGCTCAGCCCTCACAGCCCCAGCTTCATCCAGAAGGTCATCCGGAAGGACATCCTGAAGGACATCGGACAGGTTGTTTGGCTGTCTGGCCTAATTAGCATATTATACTTTTATTATAGATACTATTCTTGCATGATTTTTGATAATGCATGCTTATTTTTTTAACGATGCAAGCCTCTTTCATGACCACCCCTAAATCTTTGAGAAAATACTTTCACATATCTTTATGATAATTTGTGTTATAGATAATTTGTTTATCGAATTTACAAAGAGAAAACTATGCTTTTACTTCATTTAACTGAAAAAAGGGAAATGAAGTACAAAAGATTTGTGTTCAAATTTTGCTGTGTTAAAATGCACTGTTATTTTGACATGAATTGATCTCTACTAATTTGTGAACACTTTGAAGAACTTCCATTTTTTTAATCCTCAGTAACCAATCAATATTTGTATTTAAATTTTATTTAAATTCTTCAGAGCATATTTATTTGTGAATGTTATATTTGCATATATTTTAATACGAAATTGTTATTAAAATATACACAAAATAAACTGTTGCTTTCAGTTTAAAAGATTGAATCCAGAAGAAATCACAGCAAAGGATGTCATTTTCATATAGTAAGTTGTCTGTCCAGAAATCTCCTAACCTCTAGTTGCCGGGACCGGACCGACTGTGCTGATCACAACGCAGCATCGGTTTCCTGGGACTCGGAGCTAGCCAGGGCTGGCCACCTGCAAGGGATGGCCACTTTCCTCTGTGCTTCAGTATGACATGAAGCTCCAGAGCCTACATTTAGCTCATCCCTTTTCTCAAGGATTATAATTCTATGAGGAATTCCTTGCATTTCTGTCCCTGGAAATTCTGATTGAAATACAGATGTCTCCAGAATGGAAGTACAAACATCTCTAGACCAGAAGTACCTATACTACCAACTATTGGAGTTAGTATGGCTTTTTGTTTTAAAGATAGTAACATAAATAACTTAAAATGATATTGAATCACAAATAAAAATTATAGAGACTTCTGCTAGCTTTTGATGCAGTGTCAAGCCCTTCTCTCTAAATAGGAATTTATAAATATGAATTTATAGATGCTTTTCATTTATGATTTTCACTGTGGTTGGAACAGACATTTACAAAGCAACCTGGATTCTTCCCTGGTTTTTATACTTCCCTTTCCTTCTTCCCCCATATTTTACCAGTCTCAGATGCAACTAATTCAACAGCACAGTTTTGGGACAACTCACACAGGTGTGTGTTTTTTAAAGCTTAATTTTCACCATTTTAAAACTTAACTTTCTCTCTTTTCATACTCATCCTTTATCATTTTAAGCAATTTTATTTAAATTATATAGCTACCATAGTGAATAAAATTGGTATGAAAAGGTCTAGGAACTAATTAATAAGCACATCTGGACATTGGAAGCAGAGGTGTTCTGAGTTTGTTCTATACAATGCTGTACCTCCTGCAGAATAATAGTCTGAGTTAGTCCAATTAAGTGGAGGAAATTTTTGAGAGATTATGTTTTAAATACTTACCTATTAACAGTAGAGGTAAGACTTGCAAGATTTCAGGAAATATGTCTTGCTGGTTTGGGGAAAGAGGGATCAATACTGAGAAGTGAAGTGGTTAAGAACATGAACTCTGGAGTCAGGTTATCTAGGTAATATTCTCAGAACCACCACTTTACTATATTCTGTGACTCATGAAGTTCCTTAGACGCTCCTCCTTACCTCACCCTCCTTATCTGTAATGTGGCAATTATTATTACCTGCTCTGATTTCTCACAGGGTCACTATGAGATGAAAATCAAATAAAATGTGCTTTAAGCATTATGTTTTTATTGATATTTTTTTTATAAGAATAGGCTGTACATTATTACCCCTAGAAACTAATTAGTTTTCATGATATAGCAATTTCATTTTAAAAATACCAACAACTGAAAGAGCATGTAAACTATTTTTGGTGTCAGCACTCATTTAATACTTGGCTTCTATTTTGAAGAGTTATTATTGAGTGAATGATGAAGAATTCATCAACTGCCAGAATGTCACTCTATATTGTTCGGACTACTCCACTCATTTATGTTTTCATGAAAGATTTATTGAATGTTTACTGCATGTTACATTTCAGGCATAGAAACAAATGCATACAACTTGTGCCTATCCTTGAGGAGTTCAAAACACTGTGAAACAGGTTCATAAAGAAGTCATAGTACGTGTTACCTTAGGAATGCATACAGATACTGTGTAGTGTTTTTAGTTATACTTGAGGTTAACATTCCTATAACTTCTCATGTATTCAATTTTGATTCCTTGGAAGAACATGAATTGATTATGGCAAATACTCTTGGATCCCAATGAGCATCCCATTCTTCCTTTTCTTCCTAATGGCGAGAGCCTTAATTGTGTTCAGGGATTTACCCTTTGGTAAAGATGACACTTCCCCCAGGCCATGGGGGTGGGTCATGATTAGCTTGAGCCAATGGTAGCACTTCTAGCCACTTCTCAATGATGATTCAGAAATGGCCCTATGACCCAATCCTGGTCAATGAAGGCTAAAGGGGAATTTTCTCTTGGACCTCAGGAAAAGTTGTTTTGTTTTTTTCTTGTTTGTTTGTTTTTAATAAAAGGAGATACCATTTTCCCCAGAAGTTATAGTTATTGTCTCCATATGATGGTTGGAATTGCTTTAGCCATTTGCAACCATGAGTGGAGACATCACAGAAATGCTAAGGATGACAGAATGGGAAGCTGGCCCTAGCTCCTTTGATGATATTATCATGTTGTTGAATTAACGTGTAATAAAGGGTTAATTGACTAGGCGTGGAGTGTTCAAACCATGAATATTAAAAAAAAAAAAAAAAAGACTGGCTCTGGGCATGCTAGGGACATAACTTCTAAGCCCTGGGAATATACTTGTGGAATGTGTTCTTTGTGTCACTGGGGGGGTTGGGCCATACAATATCAGCTTGGCCTCTGGAGAGGCTAGAGACTGAGTAACGAAGGTCAGTCAAGCAGGCACTCTGGGTCCAAGTGACTGACCTCCAATAACAGCCCCAGACATCAAGGCTCAGGTAAGCTTCCCTGAGTACTGGCTACACTTTATCACATGTCATTGCTGGGAGAACTGCACATCATCTCAAGGACTTCATGAGGAGAGGACATCTAAAAGCTTGTACCTGTTTTTTCCTGGCCTCTAATCGCTATCATTTTACTATGAAAACAAACAAAATGCATAAACAAACATAACAGCTTTTTTTTTTTTTTTTTTTTTTTTTTTTTTTTTTTTTCAGTTTTGTGAGTCCTGGCAAATCAAACCTAATAAAGTTGGTCTTGGGAATGCCCAAGGCTACAACCCTGGAAACATTCACCTCCACCTTACTTATCTGAATTAGAGATGGGCCAGGGAAACTTGGCAGGCATTTCAAACTGTCAATTCGTATTAATTTTCTATCAAGCTAACTCCTATGTCTTCTCACTTGAACCATGATTAAGCTATAGCTCCTATTCTCTGTTTACTACCATTGAAACACAAAGTCAGCCCTTAACATTTACTGCATTTGATGTCATCTTATTCATGTCAAACAATTCTATCTTTTCATGATCTTTTTTAGGTCCTGATTCTGTGTCCAGAATTTTTGCTACTATTCCTTCCTCGGGATTTGCCAAAGTATACGAAATGTCAACATTCTTTTTTAAATATATATACATACATATATATATATATATATACATATATATATATATATATATATATATATATATATATATTTGATTTTTTACAGAGAAGAAGTGAGAGGGAGAGAGAGTTAGAAACATTGATGAGAGAGAAACATCGATCAGCTGCCTCCTGCACACTCCCCACGGGGGATGTGCCCACAACCAAGATATATGCCCTTGACCAGAATCAAACATGGGACTCTTTCCACTGAGCAAAACCAGCCAGGGCATGAAATGTTAACATTCTTGGTCATAACTATGCATCTCTCATAATGCTTGTTCCATGACAGCAGGAATCTTGCCTGTCTTATTCAAAGATACCCCCCCCCCCGCCCAGCCCTAGAATAAACAAATGTACACTAATCCTCCAGATCATATTTATTAAATTGAATCTTACCATTTGTGACAACATGGATGGACCTAGAGGGTATTATGCTTAGTGAGGTAAGTCAGTCAGAGAAAGAAAAATACCGTATGATTCCACTTATATGTGGAATCTAAAGACAAAATAGAAAAGCAAGCAAAACAGAAACAGACTTATAGATCCAGAGGTTG